AGGGCCAAGTTATGGGGATTGTTTGGAGAGCGGTAGGTGGCATATGGCTTTGATTTGCAAAAAGCTGGCAACCGATGCAATGTTGGACGAGGTCTTGTGCGTCTGCTCGGGCTGTAGGCCAGTAGAAACATGTACGGAAGGCCTTACTTACAAGGGCCCGAGCTGCGGCATGGTGGTCGCCGAGTCCAGCGTGAATTTCGGCCAAGAGCTGCCGTCCTTCCTCTTCGGAGATGCATCTTTGGAGTACTCCGGTAGCGCTTTTCTTATAAACCACTCCCTCGTGGACCTTGTAGGCTTTAGAGCGCCGCACAATGCAACATGCCTCATTTTGGTCCTCGAGGAGTTCTTGCCTATTTAGGTAGGCTAAGAAGGGTTCTGTCCACGGGGCGATGACGGCCATGATTATGTGGGCCGAAGGTGTTATTTCATTGGCGGAGCCTCCGATTATGTCAGTGTGTTCGGGATCTGGGGTTGTGGTCGGATCCGGACTAGTATTACCGGTCTCCCCTTGCCACACCACGGATGGCTTGAACAGCCTTTCCAAGAAGATATTAGGTGAGATGGGGTCGCGCTTAGTGCCGATGCGGGCGAGGATATCCGCCGCTTGATTGTTTTCTTGGACCACATGATGGAATTCGAGCCCCTCGAACCGAGCTGACATCTTGAGGACGGCATTGCGGTAAGCCACCATTTTCGGGTCCTTGGCATCAAAGTCTCCATTTATTTGATATATTGCAAGGTTTGAATCCCCATGCACTTCTAGGCATTGGATGCCCATGGAGACTGCCATCCGAAGACCATGCAACAGAGCCTCGTATTCTGCTGCATTGTTGGAGTCTGTGTATAGTATTTGGAATACGTATTGGACTGTATCTCTGGTGAGGGATGTCAGGACGACGCCCGCTCCCAGACCAGCCAGCATCTTAGAGCCGTCAAAGTGCATGATCCAATTGGAGTATGCGCCGTACTCTTTAGGGAGTTTGGCTTCTATCCATTCGGCCAAAGTCAGCCAGTACTTGCGATTTAATGGCTCGCCGTGGTTTGTATATGATGTCGAACGGGAGGAGCTCGATGGCCCACTTAGCAATCCGGCCCGTGGCATCATGGTTATTTATTATATCGTTGAGTGGTACTTCGGAGGCCAACGTGATTGAACACTCTTGAAAGTAGTGTCGTAGTTGCCATGAAGACCGCGTATGCTATATTTTGATAATGTGGGTATCGTGACTTGCATGGTGTGAGGACAGTGGATACGTAGTATACCGGCTTTTGAAGCGGGAACTTGTGTCCGTCCTCCTCTCGTTCGACGACGAGCACTGCGCTTTCAACTTGATGCGTTGCAGCTATATATAATAGCATGGGTTCCTAGATGTTTGGTGCGGCGAGGATTGGGTTGCTGGCCAAGAGGGCATTTATTTCTTCCAGTCCGGCTGTGGCCGCATCCATCCACTCGAAGTTTTCGGTGCGTCGAAGAAGGCGATAGAGAGGTAGTGCCTTTTCTTCCAATCGGGAGATAAAGCGGCTTAAGGCAGCCACGCATCCAGTTAATTTCTGGATTTGCTTGAGGTCTATTGGGGTAGCCAATTGTGACAAAGCCCGGATTTTAGCCGGATTTGCTTCAATTCCTCTATTGGAAACAATGAAACCCAAGAGCTTTCCGACAAGAACGCCGAAAACGCATTTTTCCGGATTGAGCTTGATGTCATATGTTCGGAGATTGTCGAACGTAAGCCTCAGGTCGTCTATTAAAGATTTGATGTGTCTGGTCTTGATGACCACGTCATCTACGTACGCCTCAACTGTTTTGCCGATTTGTTTTTCCAGGCATGTCTGGATCATGCGCTGATAGGTTGCACCAGCATTTTTGAGCCCAAAAGGCATGGTGTTGAAACAGAAGGGGCCGTATGGAGTGATGAATGCCGTTGCGGCTTGATCGGACTCCGCCATCTTGATTTGATGGTATCCGGAGTATGCGGGATGATGCTCTGCGGTATCGTTGATGAGGAGATCCTCGCCGCTCTTGGCCACCTGCCGGAGTATCCAACATGCTCTAAGACTGTGTGTTGGTATGGTATCCGGTGTGGTGTCAATTTTGCATGGCCCATTGAGCCATCCCTCCAATACGGTTCCACGCCTTGTAGTGGGCTTTGGTTTCTTTGTGATTGGATCGGGTGACTTGCGAGAGTGCACCCTTTTTGTTCGGACAAGGGGTTTAGTGAGAGCCGGAGGATCCCAAAATTTTGATTCGGTTTTCCAGGCGCTCTCCATCGCAAAGTACTTCTATACTATGGCCGCCAAGTCAGCGAAGTGTGCTATGTCACGACGACTTATGGTGTTGAGGATTCCCTTGTACGTGCAATTTTTGCAAAAGAATGAGATTGTGTCTTCCTCGCGACAGTCCTTGACCTTGTTTATTACAAGGAGGAATTTGGCCCAAAAGTGATGTACTGTCTCTTGGGGCTCTTGTCTAATGTGGGAAAGATCGCTTGTATCTGGGTGGGTGGGTAGATTTAAGTCCGAACCCTGACCCGGTCTGAGACCCAGGGGCAGAGGAGCTTACGAACTTGGCAGTTCGGGTTCCAGGATGTTGCCCAATTTTTCTGGCCCGCTATTCGATTCTAAGTTTGGAGCTTGGGCCATGTCCTCCCGCAGACGGGTATCCGGCTCGAAGAGCTCAGGAATCCGGACATAGTTCGTCCTCAGAATAGAGGAAGAATTGTTGTATTGCTCCTCCACCATCGCTATCTGATGGGTGACCGGCGGAGAGTTAATCTCTCTTTGGTCGGGTTTAAGCCCGATCCGATCATAGTCCGTAGCGACTCCCAAGGCGGCGATGCGATCCAAGAGCTCGTTCAAGAATGAGAGCTCCATTGGATCCATCTGCTCGGTGTATTCCGAGCTGACGTGGAGGCTGTTTTTGATGACCCTAGAAGTCACCGTCGGCGCGGAGGCCGAATGAGCGGTCATGACGAAGCCGCCTAATCGGAGGGTTTGGCCTAAAGCCAGGGCTCCCCCGGAGGTGATGTTGTCCTTGATAACAAGCCGAGCCATCAAGCCTTACCGTGACGACACAGTGGAACTCTCAATGAAAGCACCAATGTCGGTGTCAAAACCGGCGGATCTCGGATAGTGGGTCCCAAACTGTGCGTCTAAGGCTAATAGTAATAGGAGGCAGGGGACATGATGTTTACCCAGGTTCGGGGCCTATCTATGGAGGTAATACCCTACTTCCTGCTTGATTGATCTTGCTGATATGAGTATTACAAGAGTTGATCTACCACGAGATCGTAGAGGCTAAACCCTAGAAGCTAGCCTATGATTATGATTGTTGTTGTTCTACGGACTAAACCCTCCGGTTTATATAGACCGGAGGGGGCTAGGGTTATACAGAGTCGGTTATAGAGAAGGAAATCTACATATCCGAATTGCCAAGCTTGCCTTCCACGCCAAGGAGAGTCCCACCCGGACACGGGACGAAGTCTTCAATCTTGTATCTTCATATTCCAATAGTCCGGCATAAGTACATTGTCCGGCTGTCCAAGGACCCCCTAATCCAGGACTCCTTCAACCGTGATTCCCGGAGAAAAATGTCGGGGATTTATTTCAGACTCTCCGGCGTTATTTTCATTTTTTCAGTGTTTTGGCGTGCCTGCCAACTATGAGGTGCCTATGACGACTTTTTCAATATCAAGATCTTCCGGTTCATTCTCTGGTGAATGTGTACACAGGCCCGGTCGTGTTGGAGATGGACTGCAAAGCTATGATCGAAGAGCTCATGATACAGGGCAGTCCCAGTCCCCATGCTATGGTGTAATCCGCGATGTCAAGTCAGTGTTGGCTGGATTCGGATCACACCAGTGCTCTTTTCCCGGAAGGAATTGCAACAAGCTGTCTCACGAGCTCGCGGCTACGGCCAGGCGAACAGGCGACTTTTTCATGATTGACAGCGTGCCTGCTAGTCTCATTCCCCTAATGTGGTCGGAGTGTAAAACCCCCCTTGAGTAATTTTTTTACTCTTGTTTCTAAAAAAAAGTACTCATAGAGGTAAGGTTGTGTTCACATGTTCATAAGGATGAGTGTGCATGTGTGTGGTGAGCGTCTGTCCGTATTGTGTTTTAAAGATAAAAGTTTTTTAAGGACAAAGAAGGAGAAAATCACTCTGTGAGGAAGGGAGAGAAACTCCTTTTTTAACCCGAGAGAAGAAACTCCTTGATATTTTTGCGGGGGTATAAAGCCAAGTTTTATTGATCAAATGCCACAGAATACGTGATACTTCTCGAATCATGGAGTTGATCTTGCTACAAATGACGCCCCTAACCTAACAAATGCGAAAACTTGGCTAGACTATGTGCTTCATTGTTCAAATCATGACCTCAAATGTAAATTTAGAATAAAAAAAATAGATGCTTGCAGTTGTTATCTCACTTATAATGGGACCATACCGTCGTTGAATGCCCTTGCTGATATCGCCCACTACTTGCTTTGAATCAGAAGCAACGCTGAGTTGCTGAAGGAGAAGATCTTCTGTTAGGAATAAGGCCTCTTTACAAGCTATCGCCTCGAGTGTTCTTAGGATTTGGACACCATGAATCACCAGCAACGAGCTCCAAGCAATTGCCTCGAGTGTTGCCGCTACACCCATGGAGCTCCATCTCCAATTGCGCCCTAGTGATGGTACTCCTCTTAAGGGATACCACTGGCTATCGTCATCTTTTAGGCAGCCTTGTGTATCTTGTTGTGACCCAACCTGACATTGCTCATGCAGTTCACATTGTCAGTCTGTCTGTCAGCCGGATCTTGAACGAATTAACAGAGGGGAGTTCAATGTTGACGACTAAAATTGGAAGAGGTAAGCCCACGGGATGAAAAATAAGGTCCATTCAGAGCCCAGTGCTTCATCGAACGACAAGAACCGAAAATGGCAGCCCATTGTCACCGGCCCCCATTTCTTTCATTCCCCACACACAACTAGACCACCCACGCCACCGGCCGCCGCCGCCATGCTCCGCCTCCGAGAGCGCATCGTTTTCCATCTCCTCTCTTTCTCTTTGTTGCATGTTGAGAGATAGTTATATGATCCAATTATGTTATTATTGTTGAGAGAACTTGCACTAGTGAAAGTATGAACCCTAGGCCTTGTTTCCTAGCATTGCAATACCGTTTACGCTCACTTTTACCACTTGTTACCTTGCTGTTTTTATATTTTCAGATTACAAAAACCTATATCTACCATCCATATTGCACTTGTATCACCATCTCTTCGCCGAACTAGTGCACCTATACAATTTACCATTGTATTGGGTGTGTTGGGGACACAAGAGACTCTTTGTTATTTCGTTGCAGGGTTGTTTGAGAGAGACCATCTTTATCCTACGGCTCCCACGGATTGATAAACCTTAGGTCATTCACTTGAGGGAAATTTGCTACTGTCCTACAAACCTCTGCACTTGGAGGCCCAACAACGTCTACAAGAAGAAGGTTGTGTAGTAGACATCAATGGACTCCCCGAACAATGCACATGATCGAACTTGTCTAGTAGAACGGTCTTTGATGTTGCACCACCAACACTTGGTTGGAGGGATAACCAACGACCTTGTATTCGCAACTGTGCAATCTTGCCATGTCTTCATCATTATATGCCACAATGATAAAATTATATTCTGTGCTCTTGCTTAGAATCAAATCAAACATCATATCATGTACTCTCCAAGAAAGTACCTCCCCACCAAATATTCTTTCTTGTTGAATCAGACTACTATTAATAAGATCACTGAAATAACTTCTTGCAACATCATCCAAATCTACACCATGCAAACTAAAAACAAAGCCTTCGGCTACCCATTGTCGAACCAGGCCATCCCTCTCAACCTCGCGATCTTCTGGATATATGCCAAGGTACAAAAAAATGGCCGAAGATGAACAAGAGGATGCATGTAGCTAAGGTTTAGTATGGCCCTCACCTCTTCCAAGGCGGATATTGGGGCAGACTTGGCACCAATAGATTTTTCTATGATCCCCATTCAACGATCTTCCTTCTTGGCTAACTAATAGGCTAGATATGGAGATAATTGCAAGCGGCAATCCACCACACTTCTTGAGAATTTTAGCTGAAACATCCTCAAATTGGGGTGGGCAGTCATTTTCAAACCAAATACTCTATTGGAAGATAATCTTCTTAACTCTTGCTCTTCAAGGTGCTTCATTCTACAAATGCAGGCACAATCACTTTGACACGCCCGAACAGCTACGTTATCCAAACGTGTGGTTACCATTACTCTACTTCCATTAGATTTTTTTGGAAAGGCACAACTAATAATATTACATGCTAGATGATCCCATAAGTCATCAACTACAATAAAGTACCTACTGTAAATTTGGCATGAGTTAGTCGTACATTATATCAGTAAGTGGTTACAAGGTGCATAGAAAATGATCATAAGTAAAATGAAGGTAACAAAGGATGATGACACACGTCAATACTAGAAAAAAGTAATACTCATATAAAGGTCATGTTTATAATCCTTAAAAAAACCTTATAGAAATCGAGAAATTCATCTTACATCCACCTACGCCGTCTCTGGGCCTGAAGCAACTTGTTGAAACCCAAGAGCTTCTAGAAGCAGCGGCTAGAGCAAACCAAAAAGATGCTAGCGACCGCGATTTGGAAGATGTTCAATACTTGTGCATAAATTCAAAAGATGTTTATGTCTGAACTTTGTTCGCAAATTCGTAAAATGTTTGGGGAGTTTGATAAAAAAATTCACGGTTTTGAAAAAATGTCATAATTTCGAGAAATGTTTGCGATTAATACATAATGTTCCTGTTTGCGTATTTGTTCATTAATTCAAAAGTTGTTCATGTTTTCAATTTTTTTTCGCAAATTCAAAAAATGTTCAAAGATTTTCATAGAATGTTCATGTTTTGAAAAAAATGATCATAATTTTAAAGAAAATCGCAATTTTTGAAAAATGGGCCAGGTTTTAAAATTTGTTCACAAAGTCAATAGATGTTGATGTTTACAAAAAGTTTAGAATTTCAAATTTTTGTTCGCTTTCTTTTACAAAAAATGCTCCCACTTTCAAATTTTGCTCGGGAATTTCGAAAGATGTTTCCACTTTTAAATGGGTCTTGGACCATTAACAGAGGGGGAGTCGACGATTAAAAATTGGGCCGAATTAGAGCCCAGCGCTGAACCGAATGACAAGAACCGAAAATGGCAGCCCATTCTCACCTCCGCCCCGGCCACCCTCCCACTCTTTCTCCTCCACCTCCACCTCCACCTCCGCCCCGGCCACCCTCCCACTCCGCCGCCTCCTCTCCGCCGTCGCGGCCCCCATTCCCCCGAGCCGAGGATTCGCCGTTGAGGATTACCTCGTCGACACCTGCGGCCTCACCCGAGCCCAGGCACTCAAGGCCTCCACGAAGCTCTCCCACCTCAAATCCCCGGACAAACCCAACGCCGTCCTCGCCTTCCTCTCCGGCCTCGGCCTCACTGGCGTCGATGCCGCCGCCGTCGTCGCCAAAGATCCGCTCTTCCTCTGCGCCGGCGTGGAGACAACCCTGGTACCCGTCGTCGACGGACTCGAGGGCCTCGGTCTGTCGCGTCCTGGGATCGCCCGCCTCGTGTCGCTCGCCTACATCAACTTCCGCTGCAGATCCATCGTCTCCAAGATGCAGTACTACCTGCCCCTCTTTGGCTCCTTCGACAACTTCTTCCGCGCACTCCAGCGCTCATCCTACCTTCTCTCGTCGGACCTGGACAAGGTTATCAAGCCCAATGTCGTGTTCCTGCGGGAGTGCGGGCTAGATGATTGCGATATTGGCAAGCTGTGTGTCCGAGTGCCGAGGATGCTGACCACCAACCCGGAGCGCGTCCGGGCAATGGGGGCATATGCTGAAAGATTAGGCATGCCCCGGGGTTCTGGGATGTACAGAATTGCGCTACATGCCGTCTCATTCCTCACCGAGGAGAAGATCACTGCTAAAGTGGACTACCTGAAGAAGACGTTCAGCTGGTCGGATGCTGAGGTTGTCATGGCTTTGTCTAAAGCTCCAATGCTGCTGAAGAGGTCAAAGGACATCCTGTGGCGCAGGTTCGAGTTCCTTGTCTCTGAGGTGGGTTTGGAACCGGCATACATTGCTCGTCGGCCGGTAATGCTCTATTATAGCCTTGATGATCGGCTCAAGCCCCGGTGCTATGTTCTAAAGTTCCTCAAGGAAAATGGATTGGTAGATCGTGACCTGAGCTTCTCTAGTGCACTCTCAATTCAGGAGAAGTACTTCATGGAGAAGTACATACGCCCTCACAACGAAGCTGCGCCACACCTCGCCGATGACTATGCAGCCGCTTGCAAAGGGGAGGTGCCAGCTAGTTTCAGATTTACTTGAACCAATAGTGGGCTAAGGATCACTGTGTATGGCGCAACAAAGTTTTCACTCTGCGCAGTAAGCTGGTAGTTCCTGTTTTGGTGTTCTTTGCCAAACTAGATGTTGCTTATTTTCTGTAGTATGCCTGTTACATGCTTGTTTGGTCATTGCTAAATGCTAACTCCTATGGATCTGATAATTTTATTCCTGAACTCTGATATGTTGTTGTCATTCCTTCAGAGAAGATCTTTGTGTTCTCCTGATAATTTTATTCCTGAACCCTAAAGTCTAATTATATTTTCCTAAATCATGGCTGAGTGAAATATGTGTTGCTAGTTCCATTCTATCCTGTGTTCAGATTTTAAGAGTGATCTGGGAAGTAGGATTTGCCGGCACTCCACCTTCAGATATGTGGACATGGACCAATGCAGCCTGCCAAGATGGTGCTCTGTGAGATCAAACTTCTTCCACCAAGAAGGGCATTTGGCCTCAAACTCTGCTCTTTTGTTTTTGTTTTTTTAGAGTTACTCCTCAATTTATCTGGTAGACATCCTTTTGTTAGTAAGAAATCGATCTATTTTTAATGTGATTTAGATATGCTTCTTCCAGTCATTTGTTGATTTCGTTACTGAAATCTGCACTTACTTCTCTTTGTGTCATTGCTTCATTCCATCCAGTAGTTTGTAAACCACTGGAACAATATCATGAGAAGATTAGTGTCCTGGTTATATTAGTGCTCTTTTGCATTGCAATCTTGTGCTTCGGTTGTCAGATTGCCGCTGTTTGTGATCTTCCAACAGATTTCCGTGGTGTTGCTTAATTTGCCCCTGGTGTTTTCTGTTGTTTCCATACAGGTTAAATAGGGAGTACGTACTTGTACAAATGAAAATACTGTTTTAATCCGTTAAAAAAACTGTTTTAATTGCTGCCACAGTAAAGTTGCTGTGTAGGTAATGGTCACAGCAGATTTGAAGAGCATAGGTTTTCTATTTGCATGATCTTACTTGTATATAGTAGACCTGGAGATAGACAGCCTTGGGCACGAAACTGGAGAGTGCCTTAATACACACAAGCTAGTGAATTCCACGGTCTTAATTTTCATCTGAATTTTAATCAGTGGTGTTGATATTTGAAGCTAGGCTCGGGCTTACTCAAATGGTAGTGAGGTTCGGTGAATCGGTGATCCTTTACATACATTGCATAAATGCAGAATGGTAGATACACTGTTATGAATTTTTAGGATTTCAACTGATGTTTATATCCCTGAGTGGCTAATTTCAAATTCAAATCCAGATCCAGATAGTTACCTGCTCATAAGCTGCAGGTACTAATTGCCATCTTCATACTGGATCTGTTGAGTTGTGAGCTAGTATGTGCCAGTTATCTCTGATTTTTTTTCTGTAATCATCCAATATTTTTGCTCCGCCACCTTGCTTTACATTTCCACTGCAGCAGTGACCATCAGACCTCGCGGGCAGGAAATTTCCATGTGTTTTGGGTATTGTGAATGGGTTTGTTCTGATATGAAACGTGTAACCGTAGTCCTGAAAGTTTCCGAAATTGTTGCTACTTTAACACTGTCTGTTTCTTGCATTGCTATTCTGAACTTTATTATTGCTTTGTAAATGTGATGCTCTTTCTGAACATTTCCAAAGCATTAGTCTGTGTTAATTTGCTAAGGAGGTGTAGTATATTCAGGGGCGCTGCAAAGTTCCAAACTTAAATGCAACAACACCCAGCATCGAAACATTCAGTGCCTCAACAAATTCAGCTTAATTAGTGTCGCACATACACTTACAAACTCTTATGCAGACTGAGATATGTAGTATCCATTGATAAACAGAACTCCAGAAACTAAATAAACAGAGGAAATAATATAGTGATAATAAATACACAAGGGAAATGATACTGATGAAAACATAAATTAAGACAGAAATCAATCAAGTTAGAGACTTCATTCTAACAGAAGTCAGAAGGTTGTCTTGGGTGCACCAGGGCTGCGCTCTTGAAGGCAGACTCCACATCAACAAGCACATGTTGAAATTTTTTGCTGGAGTCCGTGACGCTGTTGATGAGACACACAGGGATGTCCTGGAGACAGGGCAAACATTCCATGTCGACGAATTCCACGGTGAGCGTCCGTGCCTTGGGCATAGCTCCTGTCTCGAAGCTCAGGCATGCTGTGACATCTTCATCAAATCGGAACTCAAAAGTACTCCAAAACTGGGAACAACCCCGTGCCGACCATCACTTTTTTTGGGAGACATCCAACACGTGGATCCTGCCATCGACCATGAAGGGAAGCTCTCCAAGAAAACGAACCTCATCACTCGAAAGGACACACAGATCGAGGACCCGGAGGCAACATAGATCATCAATCCATTTGGGAACTCTATCGAACTTCCATTTCGCTACGTTGAGTACCTCGAGACGCGGCAGCAGATCAGGCAATGACTCCGGCTGCCTAGCATTGCCATAACATTCATGATGGCAGTCAAGGTAGAGGTGTTTGAGGTCTTGGAGCGTTCCAATGGAGGAGACAAAAGCATCGACTTGTTCAATCATCCAATGATATCCTTCCCTGAAATCTTCGGCATGTCCCAACAATGCAGGGTGCAGAGTGATTTCATCTTCTGGATCCCTTTAGGCAGCGTTGTACCAATTGGAAGTTCTAGATGAAATAGGTTGGCCAAGCGAGTTACTTCTGAAGGAAAACTTTGTGCAGATCTCGACAAACCAACTCCAAATGCACAAGTCCTTGGATTTCAGCAGGGATCGCTGCACGTTTTAATCTGGCTAAAACCTTCAAATACCTTAGAAGAAACAAATGGCCAATTGCAGTGAGGTCAACTGTCGTATACCATTGATCTAGAAATTCAAACAAAAGAACTGTGAAAGGTGAGGTATGTACATGGATTCCCTGAACCATGCACATGATTGAACTTGTGAAATGCTAGTAGCAAGGGTCTTTGATGTTGCACCACATTCCATGCCGACTGGTGTGGCGCCTCTCCACTCCGTGCAACCAATTCGACGGTGAGCGTCTGTACCTTGGGCATAGCTCCTGCCTCGAAGCTCAGGCATGATGTGACATCTTCATCAAATCGGAACTCAAAGTACTCCAAAACTGGGAACAACCCAGTGTCGACCATCACTTTTTCTTGGGAGACATTCAACATGTGGATCTTGGCATCAGCCATGACGGGAAACTCTCCAAGAAAACCCATATTGACCCCTATACACACACGAATAATTATTCAAGAGAGCCTCCAGTTGTCGTGTGCTATTCCTATTGCTTCACGATATATTACAAACAACCGAGGTGAGATGTATCGGCATCCCCGTGGTCAACAACTTGTCCACTATGCCAGTTACCTCGTTACTGGTTTTGTTCTCTTTTCTCGTTTTCGTGTTCCGGCATCCCTGTGATCAAATCACATTGTGTCTCGCGAGATGGTGATGGATATCGTAACACCGAGAGGGCCCTAAGAATATCTCTCCATCGTCGGAGGAGCAAATCCCAATCTTGAGCTATCTTGTTCCTTGTCATACATTTTCGTGAACCCCTAAGCCGTTGTAATAGCCACCTACTTACGGATGACGTTTAGCAAACCCCAATGTTCACGAAGCAAGAACGAAGGAATTCGACACTCTCATGGTCTAAGAAATTATGCAAACATTAATTTTCTCTGTGTTATTAACCATTTACTTGTGACCAATGTATCTCATAGCATAACATCAATCCGGATCGATTCCACACACGTGTTCTCCTAACATTGTGCCCTCAAAATTGCCGGCATAGTCATCCCATGACCAGGAAAGCAGGATCATCATGCAATACTTGAGCTAGTCTTAGAGGCATGACTAGGAATACATTTTACCGTTTATTATACCACACATGCATATGAGTTTCCCTCCGAGCCTCGTTGATATTGCAAACTCAAGAATCATTGCAGTTATAGCATGGAACATAAACATCCATTACAAACTTGGAGATACAAAATAACTGTTATTATTGCCTCGAGGGCATATCTCCTACATACTCCCACTTGCACTGGAGTCACAATCCAGTTACATGGCTTCCCTAATACCAATGCCTATCCGGTGCTGCTCATGCTTTGCTCGTGGTAGAGGCTTTGTCATTGGGTCTGATACGTTCAGATCCGTGTGAACTTTGCGTACTTTCACTAAACCCGTTTTGACATGATGTCGAATGAGTTTATATTTGCGTTCAATATGTCTTGTCTTATGGTGTGAAGATGGTAGCGCACTTGGAACCACACCAAGGTCTTCAAGAAACGGCTTGATCCAAACCGCCTCATTGGAGGCTTCTGAAGCTACAACGTATTCCGCCTCCGCCGTAGAATACGTCACAGTCTTTTGTTTGGAACTTTTCCAATCAACTGCGCCACTCAATATGAAAACATAGCCTAATTGAGATTTGAAGTCATCTGGGGCAGTCATGAAGCCTGCATCAGTGTAACCACTTACAATGAGCTCTTCATCACCTCCGTACACAAGGAGTAAATCATTGGTCCTTCCGAGGTACTTAAGAATATTTTTGACTGTGGCCCAGTGTTCCAATCCTGGATCACTTTGGTACCGGCTGCTAACACTTAGCGCATAAGAAACATCCGGTCTTGTACATAGCATGTCATACATAATGAAACCAACTGCCGAATCACATGGAACATCATTCATTTGTACTCGCTCATCAAGAGTCAGAGGACACTAATTTTTGCAAAGCACTGTGCCAGGTGACATGGGGAGTAGGCCTTTTCGTACCTCTTATGTTTAAGG